GCAGGCAATTGCAGAAAAAATTGCAAGATAGGAACAACTTTCTTGTTGAAAAGCAATATGTTATAATTATTAATGTACAGAGGGCGATACTTTTAATGCTTGCGAAAAATAATAGATTTTTTTTTACGATGCGATGAGTTCCCCACGCAGTTCTGAGCTGTGAAGAGATTGAGCCTTACTCCTTTATGACCTCTTCCTTACTAGACAAGTGATCACAATAGTCGTTGCCTTAGCATCTACATGCAAGGTGGTAAAGGGATCACAAAGAATGAATGACAATGCGGTATAAATAACTACGAATGAAATGATGGGTGAGACGAGATACTTGGATGTTCTGAGAAGAAAGCTACAACACAACCACATAGCGAAAACACCCATGGCTTCAGAAGTATTCGAACTCACAGTCTACAACACCTACTCGAATGCTGATCCAAGCGCCTGAGCCACTGAGACGGGCCCGAATTTCCTTAAATGACTTTTAAATGACTCTGTCCATACGCAGTAAAATATGATTATCCTCGTGTCGCATTAAAGTGAGCCGCCTCTTGACTAGTCCGGAATTCTTTCCGCCGAGACGGAGGCGGTGAAGGGAGCGGAGGCAGCGAAGGCGGGGAAGGGGTGCGAGTGCTGTGCGGGGGCTTGGCGCCGCCTCCCCCGCCCCCGCCCCCTTCCTCCGCGTGGCGGGCTCGTCTTTTTTCGGCGAACGTTCAGGACGGGACATTTGTGCAGAACGAAAAATTCCTTTTAAGAGAGACAGCGCCCGCGGCGGCTGGCAGGTCCCGCGGAAACCCACGCCGCCGCGCACCCAGACCCCCGCCCCCGCCCCCTCCCGACCCTTTAACCCAGCCCCCTTCGACGTGCTCGTCTTCATCTCTGCTCTCCCCCTCCATCTCCCTCCATCTCCGCCCCCGCTCCGCCTCCACTTCCATTTCGCCTCCATCCTTGATCTGACTTCATCCCCGGTCTGTCGCCATCCCCGCTCTGTCTCCATCCCCGCTCTGTCTCTATCCCCGCTCTGTCTCCATCCCCGGTCTGTCTCCATCCCCGGTCTGTCTCCATCCCTGGTCTGTCTCGATCCCCGGTCTGTTTCGATCCCCGGTCTGTCTCCGTCCCCGGTCTGTCTCCATCACCGGACTGTCTCCATCCCCGGTCTGTCTCCATCCCCGGTCTGTCTCCATCCCCGGTCTGTCTCCACCCTCTGTCTTCCTCCAATCCTGCCTTGACTCGACCTCCACCCCCACCCTGTATTCTCCCTATCTCCACCTCGTTGTATCTCTTCCCCCCATTTCCAACTCCATCGTCATTTTCTCCCACACATTTGACTTTTTTAGCTCCTTCCCATTACAACTCCATCTTTTTCTTCCAGCTACCTGCGAATCCTTCTTGTCTCCATGTGCTTCTTCCCCCCTCTCCTCCTCTCCGTCACTCGTCGATAGCCGTCCTGACCCCTCCTGCGTCACGCCGCGTCTTCCTTATTACGTATCCATAGTTGGGTTTTCACTTCTGCAACCTCACCTTTCCTACCGCCCTCCCTGCCTCCGACCGTCCTACGCGAGCGGCCGGCGGCCGGCCGTACTTCGCCTGCGCGACACGACCATTCCCGCCCACACGCCCCTTCGCGCCCGCAATCTCCCGTGCCGTCTCATTTCTCCCGCCCCTCTCCCGGCCGCTTCCGGGCGATTGCCCCGGCGCGGCGCGGCGCGGGGCGGCATGGGCGGCGCGCGGGCGCCTGCGGTCCGGCGGCTGGCCAGCCGGCTCCGCGCGGCACAGCGGGGGAGGAGTTGCAGACCCTGAGCGACGCCCAACGACCCCCGCACCACCATTGCCGCACCCATCCACTCCACACAGTGGGCAGTTTCAAGTACCTAGGGACGGCACCGACGCGTCGCGTTCACCAGTCGCGTTCCCGTTTATTTCTTTAACGCCAATATCATTTCAGAATTGTGCGTGACGTACTATGGGGATAAGTGGAATCTTTGCACGGTTTCTTGAACTTTGCAATCCCTACGCAAATCCTATGCATATTTAGTTGAATTAGGTAACAACGAAATTTACTAGAATTAGGTAATTGAACAGGTTGCAACGAGCGTTTTAGAAAATAATTGATGAGAAAGCATTTGCTCCCAAGTAAAAGCAAAGGAAAATCCGCTAAATATTTTAGATATTATCCTTTATCGTGTCCATCATGGCGCCAGAGCCGCGAGAACATTGAGAACGATTATTTGAATAACTACGTTCCGTACTGAACTCAAGAAAAGTGTACTGATAGTGAAGCTACATTTATTTTTAACCACGTTCATTCAACTGCGTGTTTCAATGGCTGTAGTTTTGAAGATCTGCAATGGAGGATCGTGGCCATATGTCGGGCACATACATGTTCCAACGCCGCGTTCCAGGTTCGATCCCCAGGAAATTCAAGTAGAATTTGATTTGGCACTTTCTGCACCTCTCCTCAATCTTCTCTCTTTTCCCTTGCCTCTCATTCCAATATATCTCCAACATGATTATCGTTATATTCTATTATGAGGTCATCACTAATGGGCGTTATTGATATTGGCAATCGAAGAGATCTTAAATTTCAATCTATCAATCAACAAACAAATAAATAAATAAATAAATAAATAAATAAATAAATAAATAAATAAATAAATAAATAAATAATAAATAAATAAATAATAATAAATAAATAAATAATAATAAATAAATAAATAAATAAATAAATAATAAATAAATAAATAATAAATAAATAAATAAATAAATAAATAAATAAATAATAAATAACATAAATAAATAAATAAATTAAATAATATTAAATAAATAAATAATAACATAAATAAAATAAAATAAATAAATAATAAATAACTAATAATAAATATAAATAAATAATAAATAATAAATAATGAAATAAAAAATAATCTCCTCCCTCCCTCTCTGCTCTCTCTCTCTCTCTCTCTGGGCAAAAACCGCGTACTCTCAGGGACCATTTTATATATTAGAGAATGAACCATATGTGGATACGGGCCATCTCATTGCCAGGGAGATCTCTTCTAGGGTGGGAGTTCAGTCATGCTGGTGAAAGAACATTTATGGTCCGAGGTCCATTGTAGCCATACCCTGGCTTCCGAGCTCCCAAATTCTCATGCAACTGATCCATTCTACCGGGCTATTCAGGTGGTCTCGAAAATGCTCACCGTAGGTAACGAACCCAGGGCTTCTCGATCTACGAAACTGCGAATTAAATTCCATCCTAGGAGGGTACAAGTATTTTTGTCCACATTGTTTCACGATCTGGACCACAGTGCGACCCTTTGCTCAAATGGCTCATAGCCTGGATGTGCGGCGCGCGGAGTACTTCATGCGCTGTGCTTGATGGGTCTTTCTGCGACGTGCCCACGCCCCGTCCGAGAATTTTATTGCAAGCCTCCTGTAGTGTGCACTAGAAATACAGGGTATCTATGAAGTTAATTGTCAATAGGAGTGGGACATACGCCAAAAATATCTCATTAATAAGTTTTTGTTCCCGTGCAAAGAAATCGCCAAAGCAAATATTTACGGATGCATAGGAAAGTATGCTTTCTCAAATTTCCCATTGTGTATTACTTAATGCATATAATAAATATTGTAATGTTCTCCCCGGTGTGTGACTCTTATCTCCCCCAGTGTTTTGTTTAGCTTGGTTCGTTGAGCAAATGCTGAAATAATTTAATTTATTTAATATTTAATTGTGGCTTTTATCTACCAGCAATCACACATTTTTTGGCTTGTGAGCTTAAAATAATTGAAGACGCATCCTTGGGATACCACAAGCAAAAAAAGTGTTTTTTGTTAGTCAAGAAAACACATTTCAAGTATCACAAAACTACTCGTGTAACGATATTCTCTCATTTATTAGTTAAATCACTAAGCTGTAGGATTTGATATTAATATTGTGAATAATTGATACAACTTTCAGTGTAACCAAGTTTGATATGTGAGCAAAGCTTTGTTGTGTTTGAATTGTGACTTTGTATTTGAAAAACATTTCGTTCGAAACGTCGCCACACTAGATATCTTTTATTTGCACATTTTGTACGAAACTTACAGATAAAATACAACACAAGAAATAAATCAAAATTGCTTTTTCTATAATGTGAATTACCACAAAGTTCTACCAATCATTCATGTCATTACAGGTTTTCAGAATTTTATATTTGTATAATTATTATTAATACTATTATAATTTATTTTCATTACTGTAAATTCAATTCATATTTTCTTATGAATCAAGTTTGTAATAAGTTATAGTGTTTAATGCGATTTCATAGACTAATTGAATTTTAATATATATGGTTTGAGTAATAATAAAGCGAAACAATGTTTGCAAATAACAGAATTAAACCAGACCAGAAGCGCAAGGTGAAATTGAAGAACGAAAAAACCCATTACAATTACAATGAAAAACACTTTTCAGTATCTTCAAAATATTGTTCTGGAACCGAAATATATTAGCAGATTAGGCTATAAATTTATACGAAATACGACTATATCAGTACTCAAGAATCTAGCAGAAAGAAGACTCAAATTTCAAAGTATAATGTCAAGATATTCACGGAATACTTGCAGCGAATTGCGGGGTTCAATCACTAGATATTTTTCAGAAGAACAGCGCTGAAGGTTAGGGGTCGTTCATTAAAAGTCTAAAGACGTAAGAAGGAAGGGGGTGTTGTTAAATCGAACTCTAACGATAACAGAAATATTGTAAACGATATTTTAACACTTCTTTTCTTAAAAAAAATGCGGAGTCCTGCATGATAGTACTTTTAGACAACGTCAAAATTACCAAGAGAGTAGGATCGCTTATATCTTCTCGATTCTTGTGATTTCTTGAAAATAGCTGACATAAAAATGTGACCTTTGAGTACTTTCGTTTAGGTTCAGTCAACAAAGGCAAACGTGTTTTATTGACGACTCCTTGCATAAGAAATAAGATGAATTATTATTTGAAACATTGATATGTTTAGAGAATGTCTGTTGCCCGCTGTTGCATTTGGCAACACTTCTGGGATAGCCCGTGGGGTTCAGAGTGAAGAGATGCGACCTGCTGAAAAAGGAGTCGACTCCGGCGGTTCTGTAACGTCGCGTACTCTAACAGCTGGGGAGCGCTGGCCGCCCTTCCGAGTGCACGAAGATTCATACGAGGAATGCGTCATGCGGGGTGAAGAACGGCGCGGGGAAAAGGGCTAGGCGCGGGCGGCTGCGGCGGCGGAGACAAACGGTGTGGAAACAGGTCCGTTCGCAGCTGCAGAATAGGACAGCTTGGCTGTCTTCTGATGCGATATTTTTATTCGCTTCTGTCACTTTTCTGCTCTTTGCAGAGGGCTTGGTCATCCGTTCTGACGCATAAAACACAACTGCCTAGAATATTAGGGAAAAGCGTTTTTAATTATTTTTGTGCGGTATTTTTTTCATGGGCTAGTTCTTTATATAATATCAGTTACATTTAGTCATTTCTTTGTATAATACTCAACATTTTTATCTGGTACTTTGTATAACTTTTAATCTTGCTTTCGGATAATTTTTTCAACACAACAAAAACAAAAATGATGTACAAGAATGATAGAAATAGTAAAATTGTAGAAAATGCTGCCCGGTTTTACTGCACACTACAGTAGAAAAAATAAATCATAAACTACAAATAATCAATCGTGTCCACGTCAAGGCACACACGCCAGAGCAATGTAAGTTCGGAAAGTTCGATTTCCTACTGCTACAACTATATCTTTTTAGACAACCATTAGTAAAAGTGGTTCTTTCAAAATAGCAGTTACGTAGCGTGCTAAAAGTTCATTATTTAGCCCTAGTGCTAAAAGGGAAACGATTCTCATGTGTTCAGGTAAATTTGTAAATGTAACAAAAAAATAATAATAATTTCTCGACCACTCGGTCTATTGGCCTCGAGTCGCACCATTTTCTACACTGAAAATAAAATGTCACTTCTACCACTCGTATCATAATAAAAAAATTCGGTTATTTAAATATATCAATAATGAATTCAAAAACGATTAACTTAATGTTAAGAGCTGAGTTATCATTGACGGACTAGTATACTTCAGAAACACACAAATTCTAATCAGTAAACTTTACTTTTTTTTACTTTATTTTATTTCGCGAGATTCATTTGTTTCTCCTCTTCACAACAAAAAGTATTCGGACAAAGAAATCAGGGAGATAAATGTCTTCGTAATTGGAGTAATTATTGATTTGCATCGTTTTCAATAATTCCTGCAAAATATGAATGAACCACGATAGAACCGACAGTTTATACGGACAGTGAGAAAGAACAGAGGACGAGCAGGTCGTGCGACATTATTTTTCATATTGAGACTTCTCTTAGGCAAAAGTAACGTAAAAAAGGGCACGTACGATTACTGGGAAGGCGTGTTACCCACAAAAGAGTCTCATTGCAGTTACAAAGTAATAAATTACAATTGGCATTATCCTTACGTTGCACTAAAATATCGAGCACAAAGAAACCTCGTAAGCGGTAGTCTCTATACGTCTCCCTGCGTGACAACTATACCGACACTCAAAAATATCAAAATAGATTATTTTTTAATTTCCAAACAACTTAATTAGTTACAATATTCTTGAATATTTGATGTTGAAATTCCATCATAAGGTGGTTAGTTATGTGAACAGTACGAGCCTTTCGAACAGTACTCTCCTGATCAACTTTCGTCCCAATTAGAAATGTTAATTTGCCAAACGTTCTGCCCACCAATGTAAACCAATCACCTCTCCAAAATTTCCGAGGGTGTGTTCTACACTACAACCTTTAGAATCCTTGACAATACAAGGAGAATGCACAATATGAGGATCCAAAGAGCCGTTACTGGATGAAAGAACTCGGGGGTAATTGCCGTAATAAATACGAGAACGCGCTTTATTATAACAACTTTATACGTTCGCTGGGAGGCGTACGATAGCAAAAGCGGTAAATCTAAAGCTTCATTTACGACTCAAAAGGCAGCAAATACTGTGCATTTGCTTATAAAATAGGCCCCGCGAGGATACACCGCAGGGCCCGGCGGCGCGGGCGGAGGGGAGGAGGGCGGCGGGGGAGGAAGGGGTGGGGGAGAGGAATGCGCACAGGCAGCCGCAGAGGCTTCCTTATCGATTTCGAGCAGAAGCCTAAAAACGGCCCCCTCAATAATGCAGGGAAGGGGCAGGAAGCGCCTCCTCCCCCAAATCGCCCTCGCCTCGTCCTCCTCGCCGCCTCTCTTCCCTTGCCCCTACCCTCACAACGTCCTCCCGCCCCGCCTCCCCTGCCTCACTACGATCCGTCCCCTGTACTATCACGTCCTCACTGCCTCACTCCTTCTTGGCTACCCTCGTTCCGTTTCGACTGTCCTCACGCTGTCCTCGGCTATCCACCTACCGCCCTCGCTCCGTCTTGGACGCTTTGGTTCCGTCGTCTTCGCCCTTGCTCCGCCCCCGCTGCACTTACCCAGTGCCGACGCCCTCGGGTCGTTTCTTCTACCCTCATACCGTTCTCGCTCCATTTGCCTTTCTATCTTCGCCGCCCCTGTCCCGTCTTCGTCGCCTTGTCCTCGTCCTCGCCCCTTCGCCCTCTCCAGGTACTCGCCGCACTTACTCAGTCTCGCCGCCCTCGATCCATTCCGTCTCCCCCCTCTAGACCGTCCTCGCCCCCACCCACTGCCTCAATCCGCCTTCACCGCTCTCCTTCCATTCCCATTTCACTCACGCCGTCCTCGCCCCACCCTCCGACTTCGCTCCATTTTCGATGTCTTTCTTCCCCCTCTCCATACTCCCTGCCGTCGTTCTTACATCACCATTTTGTCGGGGTTCCCGCCACCATCGTTTGTTCCTCGTTACACTCGGTCTGACCTCGCTCCAGCCTCTGCCCTACCCCCGTCTTCGTCGTCGTCGGCGCGTCTTCGGCGCCGTTGAGTCGTTCTCCCCGTCCTCGCCGCTTCGACCTGACCATCCACGCCCTCGTTCCCTCGCCGCGCACTCCGCTCTCTCCGCCATCTTCCTTCCTGCACCCTCCCCGCCCTCACCGCCCTCCTCGTTCGGCGACCCGACATTTGTGAGCGTCAGAACGGAATAAGAGAAGGCTAATGAGCCCTTTTTGAGGCTGGTGGCGAAGGAAGTTGTTTGGTTTTTGCTTTTAAGTCTCTCATACTGACAATCTCATAGTTCTCTCAACTTTGAAGAATAATGTTGCGCAAGAACTATTATAAATGACTTTTTTTAAATAATGTAGAATAAAAGAGTGGAATTTGAAATATGCCCTTACATAATAATGTAAAAATAAAATGAATTAATATTAAGAAATATAATATACTGAATATATTTTTCATGATCAGCCAGGGCAGATCTTAGGGATTCCTTTATAGCTTTTAATGGTTATAATATAATTCAAATGAACTTAGCTTCACCTACTTGTTCTTAAAACATGCGTAGAAATAACAGTAGGAATCGCAAGTAAATATTACACTTCTGGTAAAGTAATATTTGCAACTTACGATGTCAGTGGTGTTTCAAATGCAGAAACTAGAGTAAATCTCCCGCTAAATCTTAAAAATTTCGTAGTCGTGATGTTTAAATCATAGATTGTCTTGTTCAAATTATGAGACGCATATCCACCAAATTAAAACCAAGAATATTGTTCTTTTCGTTATGCTATCGGCGTTAGTTAGTTAATTAATTACTTTTTTATCAATCGTTTATGTTGGTGTGTCTGAAGACAATCAAAGACGCTAGTTCCGAAGCCCATTTATTTGGCCCAAAGTCTTGTACACGGAGGTGGTAGAGACCTTCCGAGTACCTCAACCAGTTTAAATTTACTACTTTTTCTTCGAAAGACTGAAAATTAAATCAATAGAATCTGCAGGTTTTTTACTATAAAGAAAACTATTCGTATTTAATTTAATTGAGATTTTTGAGTTTATGTAATTGGTTACATTTCCCTGAAAAATAACTTATTCATTTTTTAAATGATGGAAATTGTTTAATAAGTTGTAATTACCATACGATTTTCAATGAAGTTTCTAAAATTTGGGCAGTGCCATTTCCAAAACTTTGTCCGTGTTAATCTTCCAGTTCTGAACCAAAATAACTGCAAGAGAGGGGTTGATAAGACAGAAGATGGTGTTGCATGTTGATGGATATATGTATGGTTGAATGGCAGGAGAAAAGGGAGATCCATGAAAAACTAGCCACCAAACCATTTTGTCAACACAAATTCCACACGAAGTGACCGGGCACACCGGGTAGAGTAAAGGACCCAAGCACACTGTTTCGCAGAGTTGAAGGTGAGTGACCAGACTTCTACACCAACAGTTGTCTCTCGGTACTTAATAATACATTTTTCTGGATTTTTTGCAAACAGTTCAACTTGTCAGGATACGTTATTCGCAGAAGCAATGTGAAGATAGTCTAGCTTAGCAATCAATTAAATATTAAACATTATATTTAATTCAATGCGGATACTCAATACTGAACTTTTCAATTTTGGTAATTTAAAAGACACAAATTCAAATTTGTTTGTCATATTTTTATTTGGTAACTACTTGTGTTCTTATGATGTGTCATGTTTTCTTAACAGACTTCAAAGATATTACTAATATACAACATTTTTCATCAATCTATCGAATGCTAGAAGTGATAATTCTTTCTCAACAAGATTGTCGCGAGCTACAAGTGACTATAATTATTTGGTATTGTAAATTATACTAATGTAATGTGATAATACGTGTTGTGCTCATTACTGAGCGTTGCAAATGCGTGGGAGCAGCAGCGGCATGCCTTCGATTTCCACTCTATGTGTGATACTCGAGGTGATAATTAGAAGCGAATGACGGGAGATGAATGATCATGAATAGGATAACGTTCCATATGGGAATACAGGTGATATTTGAGCCCAACCGCATTGTAGTGACGTGGTGAACCCACCTATTCCCCTGCGGAGAGCGCAAACCCACTGAATTTGGCAACGCGTACTTGAGCGTATGCAACCCGAAGCACGCTCATGTATTGTGTGTGTGTTGTGTAGTATTACCAGTAATCTGCACGCAGGAAGGTCGAAGCCTCAATGTACCACCAGAGACAAGCATAAATGAGACTTACAATGAAATTTAGGTATCTATGAGGAAAGGAGATAGTTTGCCATAGCCTTCCTCAGTTCAAAAT